AAAAATAAAACAAAATAGTACCATTTCTCAGCCACTGAACTGGCAACAGTGAAAAGGTAGGTAACACACTCTGAAGGTGAGGCTATGGGGAAACAGGCACACCTATACATTGCTGATAGTACTACAATATGACAAAGCTCTTTCAGAGGGGAATTTGGCAAGATGTAACAAAATTTTAAATGTGTTCAATTTTTGATTTAGGAGTCTCACTTGTAAGAGTTTATCCTGAAGATATATTGTCATCAGTATAAAAATACATTTGCACAGGGCTGTTTGTTGTATCATTATTTGTAATTGTAAAATATTGGAAACACTTAAATGCCCACACATAGGATAGTAGTAGAATAAACTGTGGTGTACAGTGGAGTGCTATCTATGCTGCTTTAAAGAATGAAAAAGATCTCTAGTAGCTGATACAGAATGAAGTCCAGGATATATTGTTAAGTGAAAAAAGCATAGTGCAAAACAGTATATATTGTATGCTACCTTTTGTGTATGAAAGACAGGGATATGAGAAAATATGGTTATTTGTTGCAAAAAGAAATATAGGCAGGATAAATCAATAAGGAGATTGGTTACCTATAGAGAAGATGGAAGTGGGATAGAAGTGGTTATTGGGGGTAGTGACACATCTTTAAGTTTACCTTTTGGTATAGTTTTGACTTTTGGAACCATGTTAATTAAAGAAAAACTGTATGTTTACTCACACTATTCCTGACATCTAGTGTGTGGGTTTTCCACACTGAGCAATTCTGCAGTTCTCTGCAGACACCAACTAAGTATCCTGCAATTTAATTCAATTTTGACATTAGCTACCTGGAGTTACTGCAGACCCTAGAGGCTTATTCCCACAAGACTCTCCCCACCTTTAGACGCCAATCACAAGTACAGATTTTCCTCGACTTACAGTGGGGTTACATCCCAGTAAACCTATCGTAAGTTGAAAATATTGTAAGTTGAAATGCATTTAATACATCTAACCTACCGAACATCATAGCTTAGCCTGATCTGCCTTAAACGTGCTCAGAGCACTTACGTTAGCCTACAGTTGGGCAAATGGAATGGCTGTATGGTTACAGAATTGTTATAAGTGTATCAGTTGTTTACCTTTGTGATCTTGTAGCTTGCTGCCACTGCCTAGCATCACGAGAGAGAATCATACCCAGGAAAAGATAGTTCAGAATTCGAAGTGTGGTTTCTATTGCATGCATATTGCTTTTATACCGTTGTAAGGTCAAAAGATCATAAGTTGGGGACTGTTTGTAGTGGGTGCCCACATTACGCATACTTCTGTCCATCTTGGCTACAGATGAAGATTCCCACAACCCCCTCCTCAGGGTTGATTATTTGTTATAACGGCTCACCAAACCCAGGGAAATACTTTGCTTAATGTTACCAGTTTATTATAAAGGATACAAATGATCAGCCAGATAAAGAGGTACATAGGGCAAGGTCCAGAAGGGTCCCAAACCCAAGAGCTTCCATCCCTGTGGAGTTTAGGGTACACCACCCTGCTGGCACGAGGATGTGTTCACCAACCAAGAAGCTCTACAGACCCCTTACTTCAGGGTTTTTTATGAAGGCTCCATTACCTAGGCATGCTTGACTAAATAATTGGCCATTGGTGATTAGCTCAATCCCAAGTCCCTTTCCTCTCCCCAGAGGATGGAGCGTGGGGCTGAAAGTTCTAAGCTTCTAATCATGATGTAGTCTGTCTGGTGACCAGCCCCAACCCAGAATCGATCCAGGAGCCCACCAAGAGTTGCCTCATTAGAACAAAAGACATTCCTGTCACTTGGGAAATTACAGGGTTTTAGGAGCTCAGTGTCAGGAACCTAGGCAGAGACCAAATATATGTTTCTTATTGTGTCACATAATGTTTAATCCACACTTTGGAAAGGACCTGTGGAATACAAAGAAAAACAAATGAACCTAACAGTATTACTCAACAGAATAATATAACCACCAAAGGGGGGAGGGGTGAGAACTAACCCAAATAGCTTTTTTTTTTTTAAATATTTATTTATCTTTGGCTGCATTGGGTCTTCGTTGCTGCGCGTGGGCTTTCTCTAGTTGGGGCAAGCGGGGGCTACTCTTCATTGCAGTGTGCGGGCTTCTCACTGCGGTGGCTTCTCTTGTTGCGGAGCACGTACTCTAGGCGCATGGGCTTCAGAAGCTGTGGCTTGCGGGCTCTAGAGCACAGGCTCAGTAGTTGTGGTGCATGGGATTAGTTGCCCTGCAGCATGTGGGATCTTCCCAGACCAGGGCTCAAACCTGTGTTCCCTGCATTGACAGGTGGATTCTTAACTACTGCACCACCAGGGAAGCCCCCCAAATAGCTTTTTTTTTTTTTCCCAAATAGCTTTTTGAACACAGTACTTTAATTTAGTCTAAAGACAAAAAGAACTCAAACAAATATTGAACTCTAGTTAGATTTACCTTTCATAGGAATTTTGAAACTACTTTCTGTGTATTGTGGCATTGAATAAATGAGTAAAATATATTGATTATACTGTGAACCAGGTGTTTTACTGTTAGAGAAGGGAGTTTACAAATGGAAAGGGGAAGATTGGAACGAATTCTGTGGTGTTAAATTGGAATTGTAGGTATTAATATGAACTCATTGTTTTTAATATAGATGAAAATAGATATAGATACATATGTGTGTATATTGGTTTATGTTTATATTCCTTTATCCACTGAAAAGGCTTAGAAGAAAGACCCCAATAGCAGTGAGCACTCCTAGTTCTAGGATCTTGGTTTCTAAATACCATTCTTCACTAAGAGGAGCCAGAGCTCCTTGGAGAAGTGTGTAATTCCAGTGCTGGAGCAGGGAACATACCAGATGAGCATGGATCATCTTGTACCACGAAACAAAGAACATTCAAAGTGACCAGAATATATCAAAAGGATATAAGAAGTGGTTTGAAGGGGCTTCTTTTGGCCAAAGCTGGGATATATGAGCATCAAAATAAGTAACGATAGTAACAGACTAGTCATGGAATAAAATGAGAATTGATAGGTCCAAATATAAATAAATAAATAGTGATATAAATAAATAGTGGAGAAAGGAAAGCTTTTTCTTAGAAGAGAATACCAACTAATAAATACAGAAGGAATGATGGAGTTATGAAACGACCATTTTGTAACCATTATAATAATTGATTCAGCCAAGAATTATCAATGGATGCTGAAAGTAGTGGGTGAAAGTTTAAGGAAGTATGTAACATTTACATAGTCTCAAAAGTATTCACTCATAAATTATTTATTAATTACACAAAGGAAAGAATAGTAACTTACAGTAGATTAATTTAGCAGACACCATCTTAACTAAGTAAAGTCATTATTACCAGTAACAGGGCAGATGCATCCTGATACCTTGTTTCAGGAAGATACATTACTTCTGTGGTATTCCTGCCAAAATGCATAACCTGAATCTAATTCTGAGGAAATATCAACAAACCAAAATTAAGGGACATTCTACAGTGTAACTAGTCTGTACAAAAATGTCAAGGTAATACAAGACAAAAGTTGAGAAAATGTTACAGATTATAGGATGATAAAGAGACATGACAACTAAATGTAATGTGTGATTCTGTATAGTGTCCCGGATCAGGAAAAAAGGGGGAAAATTGTAGATGACATTATTGGGACAGTTGACTAAGTTGGAATATGGGTTGTGGGTTAGATAATAGTTTGTATCAATTTTGAATTTCTGGATTTTGATAAATGCACTGTGGCTATATAAGAAAAAAATCCTCCTTCTTAGGAAATACATTTCAGCAGTTGTTGGAATTAATCCTAAAGAAATAGGATTAGACATATGTGCTAAAATGAAAATACTGAATTATTCTTGTGGATAGTTGTATGAATAGTAGCAAAAATTTGGAAACACAGTTATTTAAATAAATCATGGCACATTTATACAGTGAAATACTACACAGCCCTTTAAAATTATATTGTAAATCTGCATTTACATAGAAAAATGTTTCTAGTTATATTAGTGAAGGTTTTTGGGTTGCATGAAATAGGATAACTCAGTCTAGCTTAAATGGCTGGGGTAGTTTATAGAAGCAAAGGAACAGCTGAGAAAGCTCTAGGAAGGAGAGACAGCTCTGGGGATCTCAACCTTGAAGTTCAAGAACTTTCCTTCTTTCTAGGGCACTGCCATTCAATTCCCCCCTCTTCCCAAAACAATCCGATTGGTCCAGCTCTTACAAGGGACAGGCCTTTAAAGGTCATTTGCTTATGTAGATTGGGCCCATTCCTTGAGAATAGGAAATCATTGTGATCCAGGAAGGCACCTCAGATGTTATCTACGTCAGTAGGATTTTATAAGAGTTAAAAAATCAAAGCACAGTACAAAATACTGTGTATAGTATGATCCTATTTTGTACAAGTGTAGATTGAGTTTTGGGATGGGAGTGGAGAATCAGGAGTTCTGCCTGGATATGCTATTTTGCGATTCCTATTAGACATTCAAGTGGAGAGCTGAATTCTTTTGTGGCCAGAGTGGCAAACAAGTACCATCAGCCCTTATATTTTCTAGATCAAAATCAGCCCTTCTCTTCCTGTGGTATAGAACTGAGGAGTCTCAACCCCTTTCAGACAGCTAAGCAAATCCTAAATTTGAAGAACAGAGAGTGTCCCGTAGGCACCTGCACAGCATGCGTTCCGTTCAGAGGTCGGGTCCCCATCTGGCCCAGATCCGTGTTAGACTTTTCCTCTCTCTCCACCCCCACCCACACCCCCATCTCCATCAGCTCCTCTGCTGTGTTAAGCAGTCTCATCATCATTCTCAGCTTCATTTTCCTCCCCTGTAAATTATCCTTGACTACTTCTTTTGTCTCTTTTTCATGTTCATTTTTGTTATAACGCAAATGATAAATAAAAGTCACCTAAACATCCCTTTTTAACGATCGAGGCAGTGATAGTTCAGCTCACAGAAGTAAACACTTTGAGAACCAGGACGTAATAAATGCAAATGTTTAATCTTTCAGATATCCACACAGAAGCAGTTCAAGCTGCACTGGCAAAGCACAAAGAACAGAAAATGGCTTTGCCCATGCCAACCAAAAGGCGGTCCACATTTGTCCAGTCTCCTGCGGATGCCTGCACACCTCCCGGTGGGTTTATCAGAAGCTTTCTGTCTGACAGTTACTACTTTGATGTTTCTCAAATGCCTTCTGCTTTTTCTTTTCTGAGGTAGGAGCCAGAGCTCTTCTCCTGCCATCAGGGGTGCATGAGAGTACACACGGAAGGTGACAGGTTTTGATTGTTGCATCATAAACCACACACAAAGAGAGGCCTCAAGAGTAAAGCTATTTTTTAAAAAAATTTCCTCTGAGTTTTCAGCATTTCCTTGCTGTAATCTCCAAACTCATATAGTCATAAATAAATAAAACCAAAGCTTAGGGTCTAAAAAATATCCTTCTGTGGTTAAGTGTAATAGTTATTCTCATTGACATCCAAAATATGACCCAGAGTCATATATGTCTTTAACAAATTTATACTCCTAAATCAGATGCTTTTTCTCTGCAACAGTCACAGGAATATGTGGTCTTGGGACAAAATTTTTTTGTGTCATGAGAGAGAGAAGTCATGCAAAGTTATAATAAATCTGGAAGACGTATGTAAATGTGTTTATATGTGTTAATATATTTTGTATATGTTTTTAAGGATCCACTTTCTATAATAGGATCAGGAGATCGGCGGGAACTAAGAGGCCCATCCCCATCCCCTAGGCTTGGAAGCCTTACCCCCCACCCCCATAAATTCATATTTGAGGAGCAACTGGAACAACTTCAAGTTGTCTTTTCTATTCAGAATCTTTCCCAAAGCTTTAAAAAAATTGTTAGATGAAATCACAGACAGAATCTCGATGTAGGCCTCTGAGACTAAACATAGTAAATCTATTTCACAGCCTCAGTGTAGTATCTGTCTCACTACCGTCATGTTACTGGTAATGAAATCTTTGGGGGAAAATGTTTCCTGTACTGTTTTGGTCTCAGCGACTTACCCTGTCTTTTGGGGGAGATTCCCGGGAAGGTTACATTTGTTGTGTGACTTTGATTCACAGCCGTCAAATTGAGCTGTTCACGCTGATCCTATTCCCTGGCCTGGGTTTATATTAATAGTCTTCTCCTAGGTTTTGGCTAACTTCTCAGAGCATTTGGGTGTGCTGTGGGCTCATTAACTGCGTGTGCTTTTTTTTCTTTACATCTGTGGTGTCAATATGTTCAAAAGAGAAATAGCTCTGTGGCTTCAAGTGTTTCTCAAAACGTAACACAGGATACCTCTTGCAGACCATCACAATGAGACATTTTGTGTCTATAGTGGTGCATACTTCCAGCCCACTCATTCAGAATCTTGGATGGCTTCCCTTCCGCATTAGTACAGCACCAGTTGGGTCCTCGTGGACAAAGGGGGCTCTCAGTTTCGTAGCTATTCCTTCCTGGCAGATTCTGCTGCAGCGCAGCTGAGGGTTCAGTTGTAGTAAATGGCAAAGGGTAGGGATCAGTGTGACTGGGAGTTCTTAGAAACAATCCTCTCCAGAGCTATACTAAAGAAATGCAGTTTCACAGTAAATAGTCTGCTCCCATGGCCTCTGGTGAAATGTGAGAGTGCAGCAAAGGATCTTAAGAATGCTCGGAAGGAATGGAAACCTTTTCTATCCCCTTACAAAAGTCATTGCCTGAGGGGAATTTACCAACTCTAAATCACGGCTATTCATTGCTGAATGAGACTATAGTCCTTTGGAATTCACCACAGGCCTCTGTATTTCTGAACAGTAATGTTCTCCTGTCTGCAGCCTTAAAGATGTGGCATCATTTTCTTGATCACCTTGTGGTTTTAATAATTTCATGATTGTAAAGATTCAGTCCTCTCTCCTAAGACCTTTATTCAGCAGAGCAGAGAAATAAAAAGGTTTCCTATCCATTTGTGTCCTCTTCCGGGAGCTCCGAATAGTACATGAGATGTTAGTATGCTCTTAGAGACATCAGTGTTGTCAAATAGAAGAGGAATTCTCTCCCAGCATGAGCATTGAGAGTACCCCACATAGCGGTTTCTAACATGGCCCCCACATAGAGCTGGATCTTGATGCTCTTGTTCAGCAATAACGCACGTGTCTAGGACAAATCCTGTGCTCCAGTGTGAGGGAATGTGTGGGAAGGACTGTATCATAAAGCTTCCAGTTAGCACCTTTCATGTGGGGGGATAGAATTTGCTCTTCCTAGGTTAGGATTTGGATTCCATTCTCTCCAAGCATCTGAGAACCACCGGTTAGAGACTTGGCTGTTGCACTTTAACCCTTTATTGCTATCTCCCAGAACCTGTTACAGCCTAACCCAGGGATGGCAGGTAGGTTTCATCTTGCATATTTACTCTGATAGCCCCCCAAACCCTGAAGTTTAGAGGAAACGCTGAAGCTGCGCTCTAGGGGTGGGGAGGAAGAGGAGAATTGACATTAATTATTGCTGGTTATAGACTGATTTTCTAGGCAGCTATAAAAGTGACCTTGCTGTGATTTTCTTTCTAGAAAAGTTGTGCCAGTCTTGCAGAGCAAAATTAACCTCAAATTTCACAGTATTTTAGTTGTGTTGTCCTTTGCGCACTGAGAAGCCACACCACACACATCACAAAACATGTTTCCAGTCAGAGCCCTTACTCTGCACGTGCTGTGCCAGGTGAACCTAGTTTCTGGGATACCTGCTAGAGCACGCTGGCCAGTCGGCTTCTTTGGGAGGCACCCAACACATAACTATCGGAATTACTGAACTGATGAAAATTTAGAGCTGTTTTTGGAGAGATTTAACAAAAAGGATTTAAGGAGTAAACTATGTCATAAGTCTTGGCTTTATTCGTAGTATCATATAGTCTGGAAAATATGGTAAACAGCATGAGAAATCATTTGTCTTTTGTTCATAAATCCTTCTCAAATAATAAAATGTCAATCAGCCTAAAATTTATTTATTGATATGTGCACTGCTTTCTGTCTCGTGGATTGGAAAATTTAAATTCTCCAAGTTGGTAGCAATCTATGGTTCTTTTAGTGCCTGTGGCCTCTTACATAGTCTTTTAGACTGCTTGAATTACTGCCATCCAGTTCCCTTTATGTGCTGAAACCATTTACTAATGTCATGAGGCAATTACCTCAGCTCTTTCTGTGTAGGGGTTCTTTGTGTAACACTATTACTCATTCATACAGATAAACACAATGCAAAAACTACAGCATATATTTTTTCTCCTCTAAGCTTTTTCTGCACCCGTGTGGACTTACCCTACACTGCGTTCTAAGGGTACACAGATGAACAAATAGACCACATAATGACCCCAAAGCACAGTAAGGTATTTTGACTGACTTGCATAAAATGAAGCTTAAAATTTAGAGCTCTGTGTCCACAGGTCTCTGCTTGAAGGTGCCTATAGTAGTAATTCATAGGGCCGGACAAAAGAGAAATTTACCTCTCTGCATTTCTATATGTGAAAATGATGCCCATGAACAGACTGGGATATTGTTATACTTTTAACACACTTTAATAATGCTTTATAGAATTATACTATGTAAAGGACTTTCATATACCAGTGGCTGCGCTGCCTCATTTGTTCCTCATAACCAACTACTCTGAGAATTGTGAAGTCCAGATTTCTTTAGAGATGAGGAAACAAACAACCTTATAGTCACTAAGTGATTTGCCCCAGGTCATTCAGCAATTATGTGTCAGGCTCCTTTCTTCATTTTCTTTTTTCTCTACTAAAGTGTCAGGTTTGGGAAGTCCTTTTTTACTTAATAGATACTCCTGTATGCGTGGTCCTGGAATGGGTATTATTCCAAGCAAATTGAATAGCTATTGCCTTCTGAGAGCTTATAGTCCAAAACACATAATAGATAGTTACCAACTTGGAGAGTTTCCCCGAAATATTCTAATTTTATTCAGAACCACAAAGTAAACAGAGATGGCAAATCAGACCTCTGTAAACGTGGTCTAATTAATAGATTTGGATCTTTTAATGACATACTTTCATTATTGGTATGGGTTATGAGCAAAGCTCCATAATTACTTGGACGATTAGTATTCAATATTCTTTAAGCCAAAGCACAATAAAAACCCACTGTATCAGATTGAATTTGTTTATTTCAATAGGTTATTGTAAAATTTAAAGTTTTCCAATAAAAGTAATTTCATAGTTACCATTTCTTGAGTACCTCTGTGTAACTGGTCAAAGGGCTAAGTGCTTAACATATATTTTTAATCATTTGTTCTCTCAACAATTCTCTGTACCATTTTACGGATGAGAAAACAGATTTAAAGAGACTCAGTAACTTGCTCTGACATCTGTTTCTAGCTATGTAGTCAGTTAGATAACCTGAAAGGTCTCTCCTAGAAAGAGAGGAAAGCAAATTTCTCTTTCGAAATGCTAGATAGAATATAACCAGCTTCCTTTTAAATACACACAGGAGCAAGAGGAAGAGAATGATCACTGAAAATCAGTGTGATGAGATGGAGCTGACTTTGGCTGCCCAGGGAGAGGGGAGACAGTAAACAAGGGGCCTAAATTTTAATTACTATAAGGGTAGAAAATATAAAACCTTGGACGTGTGTAAGGTTGGAAGCTGGAATTGAGACCCCAAGAGGGACTCACATCTTTAGCAGAAGGGGGAACTAGAAAAAATTAACCTGCCAACAAAAGAAGACCTTGTTGAGAAAGCTTGCCTGTTGCCTGGCCTTAGAATGATGGGGTCAGGGACCTTCCCTAACAATTTGTGGTTAGTAGGTACAAGAATTGAATTTCAGTGGCCTGCCTGGTAAGAACTAACGTTAGAAAGTGGTCCTAGGCTGATGATAACCTGGGGCACAAATGGTTTCTGGAAGGATACAGCATCAATCCAGGGACTTACGATCCCCACAGACGAAGATCCACTGATTTTTTTTTTTTCTTTTTCTTTTCTTTTTTGTTTCTTTCTTTAAGATCCACCGTGAAAGAGAATCAATAGAAAAAGAACAACAACAGCAAACAGTAGAATTAAGACCCGTAAGAACTGATTTGGGCAACAACAGCTATCAGTGGGGCAGAGCTAAGATTAGAATTCAAAGCAGTCTGATTTTAAAAGCCTATTCTCCCA